ACTTTAAAGATAAAGCCCTGGCCTTGAAGGTGAACATAAAACCTTGAGTCTTTTGAAATAAGCTTGAAGATGGAGACCTTATAGCTTAATGAAATAGAAAGTCTTCAATAATCTCAAATTCTAATTACTCAAACCTTTAAAACCCTTAAATTCTCTGATGACACAAAGACTCAACTTAGGATGTCGCAAGGCCTTAGTAGCTCGAACCAATAAGATATAAGATCTATCTCGAATTAATTGTCAACAATCAAATTCTACTGCTTGAAGAAGATCTGGATCCTATCTAAGTGCATGAACGCCTATGATGAAACAAGCCATGTAAAGTAAACTGAAGAGAGCAAATTTTGGGGTGCAACAGTGAGATATCAAAAAAATATAAGAGGAAGCATAACAATAAGTATATAGCAATTCAAGTACACATAATTACACTTCTTTACCTCACACTTTTACTTTGTTCATCATACTACAAGGTACATCATTATTTAATCAAGTACACCGTCAACATATAACATCCATCATACTCTGAGGCACATCAAATAACCAAACAACACATAACATTCATCATAATATAATACATGCTTCATCAATATTCAACCATCAAATTATCAATCACAATGTGATGCAAAAAGACTGACACCGACTCAATGCATATGGTATCAACAGGGTAAAACCCTCATCATAATAATTCCAACTTAGGACAACAACATCATAACGTCAATGCAGGCCATCGCTCGCCAATACAGGCCATCACTTCATGAATGCATGTGACACTAACATGCAACAACTTAATTTCACCTCGACTATTCATACCTATCAATGCCATGCCAATACAGGCCATCACCATCATCATTATCATACATATCATGTCACACAATCAAAACATTCAAGCAACATCATTATACTCAATCATAATACCAATCACATCGATTCCATCATCATATTCACAACTTCACATTACCTCAAAATACCGGAATAATATAAGAATCCAGAAAATCATCTCATACTATTTTCAAATTTTTTTTATTAGATAGAAAATATGTTTAGCTTCCTGTGGGTTCGAACGGCGCGTCAAACGAACATCAGAGTTTAAAGTTATGAAGTTTTCAATATTACAATAATGATGTCCAACATAGTGGTAGCTGGTTACTCAATACCAGTAACCGGTTGCTACGCAACTCAGTAGCTATGTTTTTCAAAATCTGTCAGCGGTAACCGATTACTGCATTATGGGAATCAATTACTGCGTAACATAATAGCCTATTTTCGTCAAATTTCCACGTGGTAGCCGGTTACCACCAACCCAGTAACCGGTTACCACTGTTGCAGAACTGAAAAATCTGTAACTTTTTCAAATGCGATTTTTAACATTTCAACACCAAAATTTCTAGTTTTCTTATCAAAATTTATCTTTCCATCATGCTAATTATTCACCAACGCATGCCTATCGATTCTAACCATAACACATAACCAATTTCACAATCAATCATACAAAATGCATCAAAACACAATAATGGGAGAAAAACCCCAAGAACACCAATTAGGGAGAAATTAAAATATACAACCATGCAACCTAAATTCTACCCTACCCCATAATTAGTCAATCCATTATAGTGTTAGAATCCCCTCTCACCTTATATTTGTGATGATTCTTGATTCATATGGGTGAACTTTCCTGCCCTAGCTTCCTATTGCTTTCTCCTTTTCTCACTTCTACGCTTCTCTTTCGCTATTTCTACATAATGACTCTCTTTCTCTTCTTCTCACTCTAATATATCCCAATATTAAAATAACTATCCCAATTAAATAATTATTTAATTATTATTATAAAATAATAATAATCCTAATATTATAATATAATAATAATAATAATAATAATAATAATAATAATAATAATAATAATAATAATAATAATAATAATAATAATAATAATAATAATAATAATAATAATAATAATAATAATAATAATAATAATAATAATAATAATAATAATAATAATAATAATAATAATAATAATAATAATAATAATAATAATAATAATAATAATAATAATAATAATAATAATAATAATAATAATAATAATAATAATAATAATAATAATAATAATAATCCATATTATACTACACACCCCATGTTTCTACACATTTAGCCATACACCCCTAAAACCTCAACTCCCATAATTCTAAGGCATCTAATCCCCAACAAAGAAATCACATCACATCATCTAATTATTTAATTAAAATAATTCTAATTAAATTGGGGTTTTACAACTTGTAACACCCCAATTCTACCCGGCTATTATATATGCAAATCAGAGTCATAAAATTTATGCAAACGAATCAGGATGCCACAAATTCATCTTTCAAAACACATTGTATTCATCGTGGATACATAACACTTTAAAACTTCGGATGAACCATCAGCATAATACTTTAATTAAATAATTCAACAATTTAAACATCTACGCAGCGGAATTCTTAGTAACATCTTTATCCATCATTACAACAACTTTAAAATAACACATATCAGAGTGTTACATATCAGAGCAATCACAACGACTCGAACTACTGAAGGTATACAGCCTTCGCTCTCGATTACCTGCATGTTACCAACGTAAGGGTAACATTCAAACATAAGGGGTGAGATATCTAACAATATAATAAAATGTATGATAATTAATATATTAAATTAAATCACATAACATCACCACTTCTCATCTTATAATCAACTATAATCACAACAGAAATACGAACTATAATACACATTCGTCACATCAATCCATAACTTCTTTATGCAATCATATAATGCGACTCAATACTATGCAAATGCATGTGGTACCATTGGAGCAGAACTCCCATCTCAAATAATTGCCAATAAATAGAGGCGTCAACAAGGCATAAGCCTTCATCTTAATATTCGCCAATACATGTCATCTTAATGAGAATAAGCTCCATCTTAAAATGCAATGTATGTGACACAATCATGAATGTAATGATAACACCATAATTAACAACATCTCAACACAAACATCGTCGTTGGCCATAAGCCTACATCTTAATAGCTGTCAATTATTAGAGGCATCTCAACATATTTCATCAACATCATTCATAAACATCATTTATCATCATAAATCATCAAACATCATTTATACATCATACTTCATCAAACATCATAATTCACAGCAACTCAGCCACAACAACAATACAACAACAATTCGCCAATCTCGCAATGTTGGCCATAGGCCTATAACATGATATCGCCTAAGATTAATTAATTATCTAAGGCTTAATTCTAAATTACCAAACCTCTACATATTACTATTCTGTAATACTACATCATTATCATCATTAATCCTACTGTTACAAACCAAACAGCAATCTATAATCATCTCATCCTCATCATTCTTCACCAAAAATCAACGTAGCGATCAACACGGGAACTAATTCAAATCCTAATTTGATACTAGGATTATCCTTTCTATTCTTCATTTCAATCCTTAAGAATAAAGTTCACTGTGTTAACTATTCAACACTTCGAATGACACCTCAAACGGAGTCCGAAAACTCAAGTTACAACCTTGGGAAAGCAAATCTGTCAAAAACCAGACAACATGGATTGACGCATAACGTCTTTGGTCGACGCGTACTGAAATGAACACGCTACATGAGTCGACGCATACTCTCTTGTATCGACTCATACCGAGTCTGCAACAATGCATGTATCGATACATGCTCCTACGTATTGACTTACCCTGAGTCTACAAGCCCTCATGTATCGACGCAAGACTCCTTCATGTCGACTCATCCTGAGTCTAAAGGCTTCTTGTATCGACACATATCATTTGGGATCGACACATACTGCTCTGTCATGAATAATTTCTGCGATTTTCTCTGCGTTTTCACTACGGGTTCCATACTTTAGGCCCTAAAAACATCATCTGATCATAGATAATCATCAATTACAATTATCCTACAATTCTACATCAAATAAACAACATTGGGACATCATTATTCATCTTTCAATCATCGATTCTCATCAAACAACAATGTATATAATTCAATCATAAACCAAACAATCTTTCACATCTAATCCCACATACCAATCATCATAAACCCTATTATAAAGTCAGAACCCCACCCTTACCTTGGATTGAAGGTTGCTCTATACTTTCCGGTTGAATTTCCGTTCTGCCTCTTTTCCTCTTTTCCAACAACTTTCACGTTCTCTTCTTCCATCCCTTATTCTTCTTACTGCTTCTTCTTTTCTCCTTATTATTTCTAACAATAATAAAATAACCCTATTATTCTCTTTATTCCTTAATGGGCTTAAGACTACTACACCCCCTTATTACTACTTCTATCCTTTAAAACAAGCCCACATCAAATAATATTATCATTCTTCTAATATTATTCTACCACTTAATAAAATAAATATATCAAATAACAACAACATAACTTCAAAAATATTCCAAAAATAATTTAATTAAATAATTAATTAAATTACTGGCGTTACACAACTCTCTCCCCACATAGAATATTTTCGTCCTCGAAAATTACCTGAGGCAAATAACTCTAAATAAGCCTTTTGTATCTTGCTCTCTAACTCCCACGTCGCATTCTCTCCAACAGCTCCTCCCCAAATCACTTTCACAAGAGTGGTCTCTTTTCCTCTCAACTTTTTTATTTCACGATCCTCGATCCTCATAGGTACAGTCTCAACAGTAAGATTATCCCGCACATGTACATCATCTATCCGAATTACATGCGACAAATCTAGAATATACTTTCCGAGTTACGACACATGGAACACATCATGCAAATTCTACTTGTTTGTTACTTTGGTTGATAAACTTGTGACCCCACTCCTATTCTTCTTCTTAGAGGTAAACGAAGAACACGCTTCGATTTATTGTTTCGTTTGTCTGTTTCGTTTTTCTGTTTTGTTTTTCAGTTGCCCTAAGTATTGTTGTTCTTCGATTTGTTTGTAGCGACAATTTTGCAATCATGGACAATAGACGAAATTCATGGAAAAGAGATGAACAAGTTAAGTTTTGTGTCAGGTATGTCTATTTCTTGTTTCCTATTTTAGATACATAGAAAACCCTAAAAGTGGTCAATAGGCATAAACCCTAAAATTTGGTCCCTAATTTTTGTTACAGGCCAACAAAGGTTCACAAAATTAGGATTAGATTACATCACAAGGGTGACCTTGTTCACTCACCTGTTAAATGGTATGTGGGTGGGATTGTAACCAAAATAAGCTGGAAGATTGATGTTGGCTATATATCGTATATAGATTTGGAGGCTCTGATTCAAAGTGAGGGGTATTTTAACATGAAAAGTATTTGGTACTGGAACCCTAGGTTTAGATTTAGTAGAGGACTTAGACCCTTAAACAATGATGCTGATGTGTTGAAACTCATTGAAGATATTTGTGAATTTGACTTGGTTGATCTGTATGTGGAGCATGGAGTAAATAATCCTGATGTAACAGATGAGGCTGAGACAATTAATGGGTTTGATGTTGATGATAATGTTGTTGAAGTTAACATTGAGAAGGATAACAAAGTTGATGTTGAGAATGATAAGGAGGTTGATGATGAAGGTAATAGTGAGAAGGAGGATACTGTTGAAGCTGAGAATGATAAGGAGGTTGATGTTGAAGGTGACAATGACCATTTTGTTGAAGCTAAGAATGATAAGGTTGATGTCGAAGTTAACATTGATAAGGAAGGTACTACATATGCTGACTATGTTGTAAGTGAAGGTTCCTCTGAAAGTGAGATTGATATTACTGAATACTCCATTGATCTGGATTGGACATCAGTGTTAAATGCCGAGACTGCAACAACCCAGAAACAATGTGAGAATTCTCAAGCTGAGTTTAAACAAAATGGTGAGGATTCTGATCAATTGCAAACACCTGCTGAAAGTATCTGTGTTTTATTATTATCTTATGTTTTGACTGGAAATTATGTTTTACTATTGTCTTCTATTTTATGATGTGGCATATATGCTTTATGCGGGAAAGCACCATTTGTAAAGACTTATTCCAATATAATATTCCTAACAAATGGCCCTTAACTTTGGCCTTTAGCTGACCAACTTACAATGAATCCACCCTTGATGTAAAGGGCCACTGGACGACCTAAAAAGCTTAGGAACAAGACCAATGATGAGTCTAGAAACCCCTAAGTGTTGTCAAGAAAACTTGCAACTGTTAACTGTCATAGGTGTGGAGCCATGGGTCATAATAACAAGCAAAGCTATAAGGGAAAAAAAGTTGCTGATAGGGCTATAACAAAGGGTGGAAACAAGACTGCTGGAAACAAGAACAAGAAGACCAAAACAAATCCTGCTGTCAACAAGAAGTCTAATAAAAAATACACAAACAGAGATTGCATCTTCATCACAAGCACCAGCTCCTACTCAATCTACTCAAATAAATTAATGTCTACTTACTCTAACTATGTTTTGTAATATTTTGTGCCATGAAAAAGGGCATTAGTACTGTTATGTAATATTTTGTGTCGTGGACCAAGGCATTATTTTGTGTCATGAACAAGGGCATTACTTTTGTTATGTAATATTTATGCCAAGAACAAGTTAATATATATGCTCTTTTAGTAAATCAGTGTGATTAGATTTTATTAACATCACTTATCATAACTTCATAATATAATTACTCATAATCTTACTGATTAAGCGCTGATAACATTACTTGTAAACATTATGTACAAATCTTACTTATCAAATTTTGATAACACTATGGCAAAAATTACTCATGATCTTACTGATAAAACTTTTGACAACATTATGGCACACCTCAAACTTGATAGCGTTACTGATAAACATTGTGTACAACTCAAACTTTAATAACATAATAGAAAAAAAATCAAACTTTGATAACATTATGGCACAAATCAAACTTGATATCATTACTGCAAAATCAAAGTTACATTCCTGCTAAATCAAAGTTAACATTCCTGCTAATGCAAAGTTACATTTTGATCAAACACTACTCATCAACATTATATAACACTACATCCAACATTACTTCATCTTCAATACAATACCCATCACTAAACCAATTAACAGGACAAATGTGATTGACACACATAACTTCATCTTCTTCTTCATAAACTTCATCTTGTTCTTCATTTCATCCTCCTTCATCTTGGCAACATTTAAATTCACTTTTGCTTCACTAAACTTGTTGTTCGGATCAGATATTACCTCTTTGGCTCTTGGTGACATTTCTTCATCAAACCAATTGAAATGGTTACATCTCTTATAACCTTGGATCTAGAAAAGAAGTAAACGATGAAGTTGAGGAATGGGTGGAACCTGAGCAAGCGACTGAACTGAAAACAAGTTAACAAAATCGTTTGTTAAACATTCCACATCCATAAAAATGATGACCTGGGTTCGATTTGATCCAAGAGGTCATCAATAGAGATTTCAATCCATATTTGCATGCATCCTAAATGTTGTAGCAAGCAAGCTTTCTGTTAGTTGACCTCGAATTTTGAGACATGGATGGCATTGTTGACCGCGATTGAGGAGATGAAGATGATTAGGGTTTATGGCTGATGCAATTTGGGGAAGATGACATACATGTGAGAGAAGAAGAAGATGATATAACTGTTTATATCATTTAAGTTGAATAAATAAATAAATTTAAATGTTTTAATTATTAAAAAATATTACTCAAAAAAATAAGCAAAATTAAATGACATGACAACAAAAATTATAGGTGGCGCTAAACAGTGTGTGCCACGTCATTAAAATGATATTTTGTCGAAGAGGACCACAAAAAAAAACAAGTCATGTGAATTTTAGAGACCAAAAAATTGATTTTTTAAAGGGGTATACAAAATTAAGAATACTATAATAGGGAACCAAAATTACATTTAGTCTTTTAATTTAAAACAAACATACCCATAATTACAACTATGAAAACCAATAGATATTACAATCTAGAAACCAATGTTTTAAAAACCGGACCGAAAATCAAACCGGTGAAACTTCTGATTTAAGGTTCAATTGGTTCAACCAGTTAAACCTATGATCGAACCGTTTATTAAATAAACTAATAACATGAAACCAAATTTCACAAATATGTCATACATAATTATATGTTCACGACTTAATAGAATAAATATTTTAAAAATCCATTATAAACTCAATACAACAATATCGATAGTACATATAATAACACAACATAGTTGTACACTTCATTTCAAAAATTTGTTTAAGAATAATTTGAACAAATTAAAAAATTACAATAAAATAAGTTACACTAATTCAAACCAAAATTAACATCAATATCAGAATAGAATAACTAAAATAAATTTCAAATTAAACTAAAATTAAATAAGATAGAATACCAAAAATAAACAATCCAATATATTTAATTAAATATAACAAAAAAAACAAATTTGAGTTGAATTGCGACAAACAAGTCATAATTGACAACATTAAACAATATTTGACTTGAATGACGATGAATATTGAGTTGGACATTGTGACTATGTTTGAAAGATACATTGTGATGATGATGGGGTGTAGTTGAAAGAAAAATTATAAGGGAGTGACAAAACTTAAAAGTTTGTATGGTTGTAAAAAAACACTGAATTGTTTTTTGTGATTGGAAATTGTATGTTAATTTTTTATATTGACATATCAAACTTTATAAAAAAAATTAAAAAATGGCCAATTTGATGTATTTTTTTTGAACCGGACGATTTTATAAAATTGATTCCGATTCTTTAGTTCGATTAATTTTGGATGGTTCAATCCGATTTTTTTAATTTTACTCTAATTTTCATCCACTAATAATTTTGAAAGATTGATCCAACCAAATTTATTTTCGATTCTCGATCCAATCGATGAAATATTTTCCAAATATCAACTTACAAGTATAATATTGGTAAAAAAAAAACATAAATATAATAATACCATTTTCATCATGTCTTCAAGAAAATAAACTTAGATCACTGTTATATTGAGATTAAAAAAAGTAGAATGTAAGACACCACCAATATGTATTCCACTATTCTTATTGATGTGGTGATTGCTGAATCTGATAACCGTTAGTGCTAGTGCCACCCATTTCTAAAGTACCAGAAGAAGGACCAAAATGATCATGACGAACATTCATATGATCATGTCCCATACCGCCATCACCAATAGAGAATCCTCCACCAGATCCAAGAAACATTTGTCTCAAATGTTCCAAGTTTCGATGCTGCTCAGCAGCGGTCACAATTGGTCGTTGCTGAGACGCACCAACCTTATTGTCAGGCTCGAATCCAAAATAATGAGGATTGTTGATAACAAATTCAACAGTATCATGATCAAAGTACTTAGCCAGTTCATTCTTCACATTCCTGAGTTTCTCTTGAACTTCATTCAACCTCTGCTGAAGAATCGATACAAAACTCACGCAGCCATAAACGGGATCTCTCATACGCGCCTCAGCTTCATACACCAATGAATCAACAGCTTGTTCACGTTGAGTAACGTCTAGCTCTTGCAACAGCTTTGACACATTGCTTTTTCCAAATACCGCGTGCACCACGCTGAAACAATGTGGTTTATCCGCCGGGAAGTAGGGAGCTAGATCGCAGTTGGAGTCACAAGCTCGACGGAGATGCTTGCACGCCGCACACGGGTGAATCATCTTCCTGTAACAAATTTAATTACTTAGTTCAATCAATAACAACAACAACAATAGGTAAAATTAAATTTATTGTTATCAAAAGGAGCAATATGATTAATGATACTAATTTAATTGAAAACCTAACTATAGTCATTCTTATTTTTTCTTGACCTAACGGTGCAACTTAGAATAATGACGAAATCTGGGAGATAAATGGTGGTAGATACGAATTCATGATGATATCTCAGATCTTCATTTTCGGCTCAAATTAAATAAGAGAAAAAAAAAACTTGAATGAAAAAATATATATATCGTGATTAGTTGCACTGTGGATCTGGTATAATAATGCAAGGTGAAAGTTATTAAGAAGAAGTGTAAATGAAAATTATATGAGATTTTATAGGAAAAGAAAGCAGCGAGAAAAGCGAGAGATTACTATGGCGATCGAGAAGTGCGATGAAAGACGATGTATGTTCTTGCAATCTCTTCTCCTTTAACGCTACTGTCACCAGCAACGCTTCTTTACCTTTTTATACGCAAAAAAAAAACGTGAATTTTTTTTTTGTGTGCTTTACGTAGCTACTTTCCATAAACAAAATAAAATAATGATATTAATATTTTTTTTGTGTAATAAAAAGAAAAAAAATATGTTATCATTTATCTTTAGAGGTTTTAACACGTGACCCCTACTTTATACGTATTATCTCTAATTATGACAAAAAGACTTGGTAGTTTTGATGAATTTTTCTCCTTTTCAAAAACTTCTTTAATATATTACAAATTTGAAAAAAAATTCTAAGACATCTGAAATTCTTCTGGCGATATCGGAAATTTTCTGGGTGATCAGAAATTCTATTGATTTTATTGTAAAATTAAGTTTTTCATCGGAAATTTTAGACTTTTTCGATATACTTCATTAAAAAATTTAGACTTTTTCGGTATGTTTCACCGTAAATTTTCAAAATTTCCGTAAATATCTATCGGATATTTTGAAATATCCGGAATGGTCCAATTTTTTTTTTTGAAATTTTCTAGAAATTTACAAATTTCTAGTAGTTATCATTTTTTGTTTTATCTAAAATTTTGTTTTTTTCTCTTTTTTTAGTGAGGGCCTTGGAGAAAGATGAGGACCATTATAGGCATGAGGACTGACAGAGCTGCCACCTAGGCCAGAGCTGAGCAGACAGAGGCATCGCAAACTTCGGGCTAGACGAGTTACTCCGACCGGTTCACACCGGAAACAGATGGCTGAGCAGGCACAGTGCTGGTTTTGTGCACCTAAACGATGAGTTGGTACTGAGGTTCTTACTGACGAGGTACCTATTGTGTTGGAGGTGCTTATTGCTGTCGAGGTGCCCGCTCCTAGGACTGTTAAGGTGCCTCCTGAGACTATTGATGTGTCTCCTGCTGATGTTGAGGTGCATGCTGATGTTGCGGTACCCGTGGAGGAGGTGCCTAGTCACGAGGAGACTCCGACTGATACAAATGCTACAACCCATGCTTTTACAGAGGTATCTGTTTGGCACCAATGGAGCCTTCCCAGGAGGACCGAGTGATGGGTCTATGCTCACATACTATCCCGACCATGTTGCTTACTATTTTTTACAGGGAGAGGTATATATATATAAATATATATTATGCTGAAGTTTATCTTATTTATGATTTATTATTGAAAATTCGTTGAATTTTTAAATTTTATTTGTTACAGGATCGTGCCTCGCTGAAGGTGACATCCCACAGGGCCAAGTTGAAGGAATGGCCATGAACTGAGATGCCCAAGCGGCTTAGGGCTATTGTTCAGGATTTTGTTCTCCTCGACATGACCGGCTGCTCGCTGATCATGCTAGATGTTCCCCTCCTCCCTGTTTTGGTTGAGCGGTGGTACTCTGAGACATCTTCCATTTGGAGAGATGATGGTTACTTTGGATGACGTCTTTGCGTTGTTCCATCTCCCCATTGGTGGGTTTTTTTCACTGCTTCTATTATCAGCGAGTTAGATGATGTGACATCGATCGTACAGGATATGAGAGTGACTAAGAAGGATATGATTAAAGAGTTTGGCTACAATAGGGGTCTTCACTTGCAGTTGTCTTGGCTCTGGGAGAGGTACGATGAATTTGTGCTGGCAGAGATGCATGAGGTTGCGCTATGGCGTACAT